AGTGGACATACATAGGGGTGCATTTGCGTGGAAAGCCACTGAAAGTTACTTGTTGAATCATAATAATGTGGTCCATACGCACAATTGAAAATTTCCAGGTAAATCTTTCAATTTTCAGCTTTAACCCCTTCCCCCCTCTCCCCCTCACCAGGAAAGCTACCTGTCCCTAGCCAACTCCCTCATCTCCTCCCAGTCAGATCCCCAGAACCAGAGCAGGCTCATGGAGGCCTTCTCTCTCCTCACTCCTCCCTCTCTCCCTCTGGACTCCAAGAGAACTTCCAAAATCACTTTCAGAAAGAACCTCGAGCAGTTTCTACCGTTTGTGAAAGGTTTCTTGTGTTACAAATGACGACACACACGTTTCATCATCAGTTGTTTTCTTTTTTTACCATTATAGCAACTATCTGGCGTCATATACCATTCTGTAGGATGTATGCTTTTTATTTCATAGTGAGACTTGTAATCATGTGAGGGAGAACATATGTACTTGCAGTTTGGTGGGAAAGTTTGTGGCACAAAACTTTTGCAGATTAATTTTTGTAGGTTTACACCCACAAAATGTCGCAGACAAAGAACAAAGATTTCCTCCCCTACATGTTTTCTATGTTTACACAACTGCAACAAAGGGCATGTGGTGCTCCCTAATTAACCCTCGGCGTGCATGTGCAGCGAGGGTTACTGTAGTTGTCGTGTGTGTCTGTCTGTCTGTCTGTTACCCAACATCTCACTTCACGAGCCATGAATCACTCCACAAAGGGCATGTGGTGCTCCCTAATTAGAATCATAACTACGTAGAACAACGCAACACATTTTTGGTGAGCGAATGCGAGAGTCACACGTGACATACGCTCCTTCACGTAAAACATTACTGTATATGTGCAATAGCGTCCGTATAATAATGTGGAACCTCCGAACAAGGGACACTATGGGGCCAACGATTTTGTCCCTTGTAGAGAGGTCGTCCCTATCTCGGAGGTCAAATAATACACTAAAGTATTAGCATGGGATTGAAACAAGTGTCCTTTGTAAAGAGGTTGTCCCTATTTCGGAGGGTCCCTTATCGGAGGTTCAACTGTAATGTGGAAAAGACGATTAG